TAATAATAATAATAATAATAATAATAATAATAATAATAATAATAATAATAATAATAATAATAATAATAATAATAATAATAATAATAATAATAATGATAATAGTGATAATAATCATAGCAGTGAGATGAACAATTTTAGTTTACTTGTATCATAACATCGAAAGAATATTGACCCCTCTTGTAATAATTGAAATCCACGGTTAGCCAATTTTCTTATCAAAATCTGCCATCTTAAATTAAAAATCAAATTACATCGTTTTCAGTTCAACTTGAATTCAATTTAAATCACTTCCTGTTTCAAATTGAAATTTAACATTCAAACCCTAACTGTGTTATCTTAGGGGATTTATTTCAGTAAGTTTAATTTCATGAATCATTTATTGAATGGAACATCTGTGATTAAAAATGTTTGTTAACAAAAGGATCTCATGTGGAGTTGTGATGACCGGATAAGCAATTTATTTCATTATGAACTGAGGAATCGACTGGAGAGCTTTGATGAGCGCTATGATTGATGTTCAACGAACATTTCTGATGACATTTTAACTGGACAGTTCTAATGATTGTTTGGTCACTTCATGTTTTTCAAGAGTCAGATGTTTTATAGTGTCAGTTGATGGTGGAAATATCTTTCTACATGTAGCACCTATTAGCAAATGAGTTAGTTTTTTTCATTCTTTTGGAAAAACCATTTTGATTCAGTATTCATGCATTTTAAGTGTTAATTTCGAAGTTCAAGTTGAAACAACCCCCAAACTTATTTTTATTTCAAATCATTTCATCTATCGCCGAAATTTCATTAAGTTACGAAATTTGATTCTGATTTTTAGTTTGATAAAAATGTATGATATTAACATTCATCGATTTCATGTTGAAACAGCATTTAGAGTTGTCAGATTAAAATTGAAAATAATAACTGATCATTAAAATATTTGAACAATTACTCAACTATTCAGTGGGATGTATTTCAATTGACATGATTTCATTTGATTCTTCTGAAATTATAGTCCGAGATGTCTCAAAGTATTCCGTGACGTAATCAATGAGGAACTTTGCAACGGTGCAAATTTAAAATTTCACATACTAAGAGATATGACTAAATTCCTTGAAGAAATACACATAAAATATACAAATAATCAATAAATATCATGCAAATGAAAAACGATTGAAATTGGAAAAGTATACATTTGAAGTTTTTAACAATAGCATTATTCACCTGAGAAGATGAGAGGATGTAATAAAGGTGAGTTAAAGAGAATAAGGAAAACTTACTATTTCATACTCATTCATTAAGATAGAAAATTGAAATTCAAAAAATGTCAGGAATAATTCCGGAAATGGAATTCAGGATCAAGGAATTAAAGCATAGATCAAAGAAAGGTATCTATAAAGAGGTGCATGTTGAACATAATAATCTATAAATTTCATAATTAACAATTGTAAATTTCAAATTTTCAGAAAAATTATTATTATATGAAGTAATTACATCTGCTATTACTATTATTGCTATTATTATTATCATTAGTATTAAGCAAAAACGTATTATTTATATGGCCTATTAAATTTTTCACGCTTCAACTTTCATCCAAATCATTGCACAAACTGTAAACCTATAAGAAGATTTGAAATTTATCAAACCGGTAACCTCTAACCTCTCATTCAATTGCTTTTTGTCAATGTTAATATTACCATTTTCTACCCCAATAATTACAATTACACTGAGGCACAACTCTTATAACATTTATGATTAGCAATAAAATGATTGTGATAGATGTCCAAATGTCCATCTTCCTTTCCATTTGAGCAATTATATTTCACAATTACCGGTTGACACTGCTGCATATGCTCCAAATAGCGCTTTTGCTCGAAATATATCATGCAACTAAAAGTTTATTTCGAAATGATAAAAAATCTTAACTCAATAAAAATTTGTGAAAAGAAAAACCTAAACAAGGATTAATGTAATATTAAAAGAAACAATTTCATGATTTTGAAATCATAATTAACCTATCCTGAAAAAGTAGCTTAGTTTTTTTTTTTCGCTTTTTTTTTCAATTTTGTTATTTGCTATATCGTAATTTGAACTGATTTGACATAGAAATAAGTGAAATTTCTGTGCATAATTAAGTAATTCTTCGGTATATGATATGGTTGAAAATTTATCACAGTGACAAGATCTCGGGAATAAAATGATAGAAGAGGGATGTAGAAAAGCTGTCGTCTTATTTTCAAATGTACATTAAGCACTTTATTGATAAAGTAAGAATGGTTAATCTTGAAGATATCAATAAAATTTACCTATAAACGACAGTTACTTGCCATAAATGCATTAAAGATAAAGTAAGGAATAAAATGACGGATGTAACGACGAATATTACGATAAATGTATCACTGAGTCGTATTTTCATATAATATCCTGAAAAATTTTAATTTACATAAATTCAATCTTTAGCATATCTGCCATATATTGCTAACATTTTTGGAAAGTATAATTGTACTGGAAAATATACTTCAAATCTATCAAAATTTAATTCAATAAATGATTGGGTTAAGTTTGATAAGATGTAATGATTGATAATATCACATGATTCACTTTAAAAAAAAAGAAATCATTCAGGATCATCTTTATCATAAATGCACATTTAATACGAAAAAAAAGTAGTCGAGAAAAATCTCGATGAAATTTTTAATTCATCCAATACTTACCAACAATTTGCCTAAAGGTACCATAGCTGGCAGCTGTAAATGTAATTATTATAAGTACAACCATAATACAAAGTACTATATGAACACTCTGAAATTAGTGAAATTATATGAAAAAATAAAGGAATAATTATAACAAATATTTCGCTAAAATTATTTCACAATATTTTCATGAAAATTAATAAATTGAAGTAAAAGGAAAAAAAAAAGAAAAACAACGGAAATTAAAAATGAAACAAACCGATACAATCAAAAACGGATATAAATATTTGTGTTTTTCGGTGCATAATGCATAAATACTTAACGAGGCGACAACAAATGGTATCACCGACCAAAGCACAGCTGATTTCATTGCAAATGTAAAAGTGATAACTGATAAGGTTACATAAGTTAGCAGAAATAATCTAGTACCAGTCTAAAAAATGAAATATGATGAAAATAAATATGAAATAGTTTCTTATCTGAATTACAGAATCGATAGGATAGGATGAGGAGAAAATTGTTACTTCTATTAGTTATTAAAATATGTTAATTTAGAGATTTGAGGAAGATATCGGTGATTTTAGGATGATATAAGTGGAGAAGATACCGTTAAACTATTATAAGAATATCAAAAATTGAAAAAAAGGCCAATAAAAAGTTAGTAGTAAAATAAGTATTTACCTAATTAATATTCAATTAAAATTGAACATAAATAAAATGGAATGGTTTTGGCTTTTGAATGATGATTTTTAATGTGCATATTCTTACAAATATTTTTAATTAAAGAGGAAATGTTTAAAAATATAGCATTTATTTGATGTAATTGATTAATAATCAATTAAAATATTTTAATTAGATGGACGTATTAACTTGAAGGGATGCATAAAACAAAGCAATGATTTCAAATTCTTGGCATAAAGAAAATATAATTATTTATCGCAGCAGAAACAAAATACTTACCACAATATGCATAAGGCTGCAGCAGCAGCGATATTGCGACAATTGCGCCGATGCATTGATAAATCTAATTTTATGTTCCCCGCAATGACTGTTTTCTTGAATGACATCCTTTACTCGTTCATATCCGGTTCTGTTATTTCGTTGTGGATTGACTGGTAGACAAAATAAACAAATTATTTAAATAAATAGGTAAATAAAAATAAATAAGCAAACAAAGGTAGAAATAAATAAAGAAAGAAAGAGACAAATAAATAAGTGTGCAAATAAATAGGCCAATTAATTAATTATCTAATAAATAAATACATAGTAAGTAAATAAACAAATTAATGGACAAGTAACTAAATAGGTAAATAAGTAAATAAATGAACAAATAAATAGATAAATAAACAAATCAATAAATAAAAAAATAAGCAAATGGATAAACGAACAAACAAACAAATAAATAAGCGAGTTAATTGATTAATTAATTAATTAATTGGTTAATAAATAAAATGAATGAATAAATGGTGGCAAAAATTTAGATGGAAAACTTATTTCTTAAAAAAAAAGCAAATATTTTCAAAATTTCAAAAAAATAAATAAAATCACTCCATTTTGCTCGATTTAAAGAGTTTGCTATTCGAACAGTTGATTAATTTAATTAGTTTGGTAAAATGTTAAGTGTTAAAATAAAATTTTTGAACCAAATTTTTTAAAAATTTTTCTTCACATTTACTTTTTATTATATTTTAAAAATGAAAACTATATAATATAATGAATGTAATATGAAACATACCAATAAAGTTAACCTTCGAAAATCTTTCAGGCTTTTGTTGTAATGTTGATACATTGGTTGATGGTAAAGGTGAACATTCTGCTAATGCTCGAGCACGTTCCAAATAATTAACCATTTTTTCGTTCTTTTTTTTTTTTACATTTCATCAATTATTAATTGAACATATTTCCCATTTTCCATTTTTCTTTTTTTTTTTCTTTTTTCTTTTTATAATAATATCTAAAATTATTGGAATT